CCACATTATTATAATCCAAACCAAATGCTAAACGAACGTGGGTCATACAGCGCTTGTACGACCCCACAGCCTGGCTGATCAGAGACCAACTTGAGGAACTTAAGCTTTGTCACGTTTGAGAATACTGTGTCTTGTGAAACACAGCTTTCACTGCAGCACGGGCCCCTAATCTATATATATATATATATATATTTAGTCTATATCATATATATATATATATAGATGATATATATATCATAGTCATATATATATATAATTAAGCAAATATCGCAAACCAAGCGATACAGGATGCAAACCACCACGGAAGGGGGGCGTGGTAGAACGATACTACAGGCCTTTCTGTTGCAATTAAAAGCCATCTCAGCAGCTTGCAGCTTTAGTGCAAAGTCTGTCAGCTTGGGGAATCTGTCATTGCAGACCAACTTCCAGAAACTCTCTTGATTTTCATTTTTCTTTGGAAGCAACAGTGGGTCAGACTGTAGTTCTGGTTACTGTGTCTGCACATTAACTTCCATGGGGGTTGTTAAATACAAGAAGACTTCATTTCAGTTTTTCAGTCTCTGGTAGTAAGGCAAGACACGTACAGGACACGTCGCTACTCTGTACTAATTATGGTCATGGAACGGAGTTCTAACTACTGTGACAGTCATTTTAATAAGCTAGTACTGTTTTACATACATAACCTTAGCGTCACAGATATTATAAAGATTTTTAATAAGAGAAAATTCAATAAATCAGTATATTAATATGAGCGCTTGCGGGCCACAAAAATTCAACCCGTGGGCCGCTTGTGGCCCAACGGCCCATAGCTGGACCACCCTGGTCTGTAACTGTTGTTGCTTTGCCGCCATCTTTGTGGATCTGGGATATATGTGTTGTTGTTAGTGACTCTGGGATGACTCCCGCGTCTTGGCTCCCTCACCATACAATATCTGAGGTAAGTGATGGTTCTTATGGTTCTTGATGAACACGGAGTTCCAGGAGTCAGAACCTGGGACAGAGTGCATGGACATGTTGCCACTGTCTCATAGTCCAGTGCTGTTAAGTCACAATTATACAAAAGTTGACACAGTTTTGATTGTGGTTCATGAAGAATTAGTTGAGATTGTCAATCTTTAGTCTGATTAATGACTCGCTGAACACAAGTCATACTGAGATCAATATTTCAATTATATCTTTGTTGTCGTCACTGTAAGTTGCATCTGGTTGCATCAAGAACAAGATACTGCATCTGGTTGTCTGTCTGGATTTTGCATGTGACAAGAAATATTTTTAATTTCTTTCATTTTCATTAATTGCTTCTATCTCTCTCTCTCTCTCTGTGCTGAACTTTGGTTTATTCAACTTGAGTTCAGTCACTTTCATTTCTGTAGCCAGAGCTTCCTTCTGCACTTCAGATAGTCTAGCGCTCTTGAAGTTCTGTGATTCTTCGTCTTCACCTGTAGAGGGAGCGTCTCTTTCTATATAGTTTACATCTTTTATTTTTATTTAGTAAAATGCGTCTTGATCATGCTTCTAGCATCACAAGGTTAAATCTTTCTAGACACTGACTCAAATTCTTGTTATTCAAAATATGTTCCCAGCATGCTTCATCAGGGAAATTATTTGAGCTCAGTTGATGATCGTGTTAAGGTTGAACATGGTGAGAACACAGCCATGACTGGTAACATTTATGAAGGGGTTCAAGGAAACCAGTTAGCCGGACTTGAGTCCTGGAGGTGGAAAGTACTTTTTACCTGCACTCTGAAGGAGGGGTGGGGGATATGTTGCAGTTTTGAATTGTAGTATCAGCGCCCCCTTTGGCAAGACGGTGATGGACTGAGTGGTGGTGAAAGTGTTTCTTCTTTTTTGGGTCACCCTGCCTCGGTGGGAGACGGCCAGTGTGTCGAAAAAAAAATTTATGTCTGTGTATTGATGGTGAGAAACAGTGTAGTACCTGCAGGTCTCAACCTCCGTTAAGTTGTGATCTGAATTTAGTATCTTTAACACTCTTATACTCCGCACCAAGTTATCATTATTCATAAATAAAAGGTCAAATGTGTTTCCTAGTCTAGTTGGCTCCACTATCTGTTGGCTTGACGTGAATTTATTACACAATTTCAGTAGTAAATTCGTGAAGTAATGTTCGTCAGGAAACCGGACAAGTGTTTCCTTACGTGGGTCTCAGCCAAAAAATGGCCTGCCACTGGAGCTTTTGGTCATCTGACCGAGGCCTTCCACTGGCTTACCCTTTCACCACTTTAAAAAATATGATTATGATTGTTCTTCCAGTTTAACTGTTCTTACCTGAATTCTCTCACTAATACAGGAGGGATGGGTCCCCTGGGCAGGAAATTTACTTTGGATATTTCCTCAGTTATCAAAATATTTTTCTTTTACAACAAAGGTACGTTAATAGAGCCTCACAAAATCAAGGAAGCCTCCTGATTTTTTAGTAAATTCAATAAGTTCCAGGAAGCAGGTTGATTAGATTATGGAATCAGTGGCGTTGCCAGATGGCTATTGATTGTGATCACTGCCATGGTGTTGGCTCTTTACTCCATTAAACACACACACACACACACACACACACACACACACACACACACACACACACACAACACATACACACACACACACACACAAAACACACACACACACACACACACAAAACACACACACACACACACACACACACACAAACAACACACACACAACACACACAACACACACACACACACAATAACACACACACAGAAAGGAGACAGACACGAGGCACTAACCTATAGACCAGTGTCACTGACGTGTATAGTATGCAAAGTCATGGAGATTATCAGGAGGAGAGTGGTGGAAGCATCTAGAACGGAGCAAGCTTATAAACGACAACCAGCACGGATTCATGGAAGGCAAATCCTGTGTCACAAAGTTACTAGAGTTTTACGGCAAGGTAACGGAAGTAAGACACAAGAGAGAGAGAGGGGTGGGTAGGCTAGCATTTTCTTGGACTGCAGGTAGGCCTTTGCACAGTTCCTCACAAGTGATTATTGCAGAAGCTAGAGGATCAAGTACGTATAACAGGAAGGGCACTGCAATGAATCAGAGAAATACCTGACAGGAAGGCAACAACGAGTCATGGTACGTGACGAGGTATCACAGTTGGCGCCTGTGACGAGCGGGGTCCCACAGGGGTCAGTTCTAGGACCAGTGCTCTTTTTGGTATATGTGAATGACATGATGGAAGGGATAGACTCTGAAGTGTCCCTGTTCGCAGACGATGTGAAGTTAATGAGGAGAATTAAATCAGATGAGGATCAGGCAGGACTACAAAGAGACCTGGACAGACTGGAAACTTGGTCCAGCCAGTCCAGTCATGAAGATCGGGGAAGGGCAAAGAACGCAGGCAGAGTGTAGGCTAGGTGGCCAAAGACTACAAACCTCGCTCAAGAAGAAAGATCTTGGGGTGAGTATAACACCGAGCACATCTCCTGAGGCGCACGTCAACCAGATAACTGCTGCAGCATACGGGCGCCTGGCAAACCTGAGAATAGCGTTTCGATACCTCAGTATGGAATCGTTCAAGACTTTGTACACCGTGTACGGCAGACCCATACTGGAGTATGCAGCACCAGTCTGGAATGCACACCTGGTCAAGCACGTCAAGAAATTAGAGAAAGTACAAAGGTTTGCAACAAGGCTAGTTCCAGAACTAAGGGGAATGTCCTACTAATAAAGGTTAAGGGAAATCGGCCTGACGACACTGGAGGACAGGAGGGTCAGGGGAGACATGATAACGACATACAAAATACTGCGTGGAATAGACAAGGTGGACAGAGACAGGATGTTCCAGAGATGGGACACAGACACAAGAGGTCACAATTGGAAGTTGAAGACTCAGATGAATCACAGGGATGTTAGGAAGTATTTCTTCATTCACAGAGTAGTCAGTAAGTGGAATAGTTGGCAAGTGATGAAGTGGAGGCAGGAACCATACATAGCTTTAAGATGAGGTGTGATAAAGCTCACGGATGATGAATCGACCCCTGCAACCACAAATAGGTGAGTACACACACACACACTACATAATGGAGCACCACTTCCTCAGATCACACCTAATCACCCTCCCATTCCAAGGCTCTGCATGACCCCTTCGGGTTTAGTGCTTCCAAATGTATATGTATATAGAATTGCATTAAAAAATTAGTATTATTACATCCGCAAGAAAGAGCTAACCCAAATGTTTCCACCCAACATTTCCCTAATATTTGCAGCTGTACCGGGGATCGAACCACGGACCTCAGTGTGTGAGCTGAGTGCGTTACCAACCCAGCTACGGGACGCCTAAGATTCTAAAATGGTGTGTGTGTGTGAGAGAGAGAGAGAGAGAGAGAGAGAGAGAGAGAGAGTTTCCCCTCTCTCTCTCTCTCTCTCTCTCTCCACTGAGGTTCCAGCTTTAAGTTAATAAAGTAGACTCTAGGAACACACACAGCTGGGTGAGAGGAACCACCTGCTCACCCACACACGTACACACACATACTATGTATGTATATACCGGGCCACGGGGGCGCTGACCCCCGAAACATTCTACAGATATATATATCCTTTAGTGTGGGATCAGGAAAGCAGTGACTCTCCTTATCTACTCACTCTAGTGTCGATTCAAGGTATATACACGTTTTTACTGCATATTCCGACGTTACCAAGCATTTAGAAACGTTTTCTGACTGACGCAAAACTCTAAACCTCTCACTTGATATTAAAATAAGCAGCATCAGTTAGAAATATCATATAATTAGGTCAAAAGAATTTCCAAAAAGTTCCCCGAGGAGCCTAAAGGCAGCTCGGTAATTATAAAACCCTAAAATTGCTATTTTAAATCAAAAGGATGCTCCAGTGGGTGTCCAAACTTGTACGAACACATTAATATGTAGTTTGGAAGGTGATAAACAGCCAGAGAGAGGCAGGAGCACCTTTACACAGGTGACTGTGTACAGGTACTTGTTGCTGGTTTGTAGGGCCCACCAGGCCCGCTACTTCAGATGGACATATCTATGTGGTCCTTGTAGTTACTGTGTTGGAGGAAGATGTGTTGGAGGAAGATGTGGTGTTGGAGGAAGTGGTGCTGGTGTTAGCATTGCGGTAAACTAGTCTGAAAAGTAGGATAAGGATGAAGAGGAAGCCTAGAGGAGGCGTGGAGGAGGCGTGGAGGAGGCGTGGAGGAGGCGTGGAGGAGGCGTGGAGGAGGCGTGGAGGAGGCGTGGAGGAGGCGTGGGAGGCGTGGAGAAGGTGTGGAGCAGGAGGCGTAGAGAAGGCGTGGATACGTGGAGGAGGCGTGGAAGAAGCGTGGAGGTGGAGGCGTGTAGAAGGAGGCGTGGAGGAGGAGGTGGTTCGCGGTTGGAGGCGTGGCTAGGGGTGGAGAAATGGTAGTGGAGGAGGAGGCAGCAGCAGCAGCAGCAGCAGGCAGCAGGAGGCAGCAGCAGGCAGTTGGTGGAGCAGTGTCGGGAGTGCCTCCGTCCGCACCGGTCCAGCGCTGCCGCTCCGTCCGCGCACAGTGCCAAGTGTCCGAGCCTTCACTGCCAGCATGCTGGGTCAGTGAGTGAGTGTAAGTGCCACCCAGCCAGTTACCAGTGCTAAGTGTCGCAACCATGGCTAGCCAGGGGTGCTTTAGCCTCCTGACGGTGGTGCTTTTTGCCACTCGAGCCGTGTTTGGCTTCCTCCTGGAGGGTTCGCCAACCTCCTTCGCCCAGTTCCCTCGCTGGATGCCAGGAGCCAATGGCTCTCTGGAATTTGAGTTCCTAACTCGCGAAGCCAATGGCCTCCTTCTGTATACAGATGACGGGGGCTCTTATGAGTTTTTCGAATTAAAACTGGTGGAGGGGGCGGTGCGCCTGCACTACAACATGGGAGGGGGCGCACGGCTTTTAACGGTGGGGCGCGGTCTGAACGACGGTATCTGGCACCGGGTCAAGGTATCGCGCCGACACGACCGAACCCACCTCACGGTGGACGGTGTGACCGAAACCCGACTGATCAAGGCCCTAAACCACGACTTCGGATCCCCAGACACCAACTCCTTCGTGTACCTGGGCGGCTTGCCCCTCCTGGTCACCAGGCAGGTCGGCTCAAGACTCACGCTTCCCGTGGTCACCTTGGAACCTCGTTTCGCTGGTCAGTTTCGCGAACTGGTGTACACCACGGCTGATGGGACCTCCCGCACTCAGAACATGATCGCTAGTCAGGTAAGAGGCATTCTCTATCACTTCTTGGGACCACATAACTGTTAGTCAAGAAGCAATATTTATATCTTCTTGGGACTATACAATTGGTATTCAAGAAATATTCTTTATCTCCCTCTGGGACCAAATTATTGCTAGTCAAGACGCATTCTTCTTGGGATCATATAATTGTTAGTCAAGAAGCCTTCTTGGCTCATTTTACGAGGTACTCTTTACGCTAGAGGCAGCAAAATATCCACCACACCAGGTAAGAGGTATTCTTGGTATTTAGGAGACAATGATGACTATGGAGGTACCTAACGAGAGGGTCCTCCGTAATGGGGATTTAAATACTGTCTACTACACGAGGGTCATTAAGACTGCATGTCACGTGCTCACCACCAGACAAGAATACTTTAATACCTAAATGAGTGATTAAAATCTCAGTGTATATAAACTAAGAGATATACACCTCTCAGTGTATATACACTGAGAGATATACATCTCTCGGTGTATATACACTGAGAGATATACACCTCTCGGTGTATATACACCCGATGCAATCTACTGAACCTCTCTCTTTAAAACGATGTATTTTTCTTCATATATATGGTTATTTTTGGGGTCCATGCATCTTATCTGTGGTTCAAATTATTGTATAAATTTTGTATACAATGAAAGCACCGTTGTATATACACTGTCAGGGATATATATCTCAGTATATATACACTCAGAGTTTTTTTTTAATTCCATGTTATAGATTCTGTCAAGTTTTATTCTACTTTTTAATCCGCATATATCAAAATTCTAGTGGATAATTGATATTTTCAATTTTTAAAAAAAAAAACAAAAAAAATCTTGGAAATATTGCATAATGTGCAGGATATTCATTTCTTATAAGTATTATAGTTTTTTGACTGGTGGTGTACAGGTGACATACAGTCTTAATGACCCTCGTGTAGTGACTGGTGGTGTACAGGTGACATACAGTCTTAATGACCCTCGTGTAGTGACTGGTGGTGTACAGGTGACATACAGTCTTAATGACCCTCGTGTAGTGACTGGTGGTGTACAGGTGACATACAGTCTTAATGACCCTCGTGTAGTGACTGGTGGTGTACAGGTGACATACAGTCTTAATGACCCTCGTGTAGTGACTGGTGGTATACAGGTGACATACAGTCTTAATGACCCTCGTGTAGTGACTGGTGGTGTACAGGTGACATACAGTCTTAATGACCCTCGTGTAGTGACTGGTGGTATATAGGTGACATACAGTCTTAATGACCCTCGTGTAGTGACTGGTGGTATACAGGTGACATACAGTCTTAATGACCCTCGTGTAGTGACTGGTGGTGTACAGGTGACATACAGTCTTAATGACCCTCGTGTAGTGACTGGTGGTGTACAGGTGACATACAGTCTTAATGACCCTCGTGTAGTGACTGGTGGTGTACAGGTGACATACAGTCTTAATGACCCTCGTGTAGTGACTGGTGGTGTACAGGCGACATACAGTCTTAATGACCCTCGTGTAGTGACTGGTGGTGTACAGGTGACATACAGTCTTAATGACCCTCGTGTAGTGACTGGTGGTATACAGGTGACATACAGTCTTAATGACCCTCGTGTAGTGACTGGTGGTGTACAGGTGACATACAGTCTTAATGACCCTCGTGTAGTGACTGGTGGTGTACAGGTGACATACAGTCTTAATGACCCTCGTGTAGTGACTGGTGGTGTACAGGTGACATACAGTCTTAATGACCCTCGTGTAGTGACTGGTGGTGTACAGGTGACATACAGTCTTAATGACCCTCGTGTAGTGACTGGTGGTATATAGGTGACATACAGTCTTAATGACCCTCGTGTAGTGACTGGTGGTATACAGGTGACATACAGTCTTAATGACCCTCGTGTAGTGACTGGTGTACAGGTGACGTACAGTCTTAATGACCCTCGTGTAGTGACTGGTGGTGTACAGGTGACATACAGTCTTAATGACCCTCGTGTAGTGACTGGTGGTGTACAGGTGACATACAGTCTTAATGACCCTCGTGTAGTGACTGGTGGTGTACAGGTGACATACAACTTAATGACCCTCGTGTAGTGACTGGTGGTGTACAGGTGACATACAGTCTTAATGACCCTCGTGTAGTGACTGGTGGTGACAGGTGACATACAGTCTTAATGACCCTCGTGTAGTGACTGGTGGTGTACAGGTGACGTACAGTCTTAATGACCCTCGTGTAGTGACTGGTGGTGTACAGGTGACATACAGTCTTAATGACCCTCGTGTAGTAACTGGTGGTGTACAGGTGACATACAGTCTTAATGACCCTCGTGTAGTGACTGGTGGTGTACAGGTGACATACAGTCTTAATGACCCTCGTGTAGTGACTGGTGGTGTACAGGTGACATACAGTCTTAATGACCCTCGTGTAGTGACTGGTGGTGTACAGGTGACATACAGTCTTAATGACCCCGTGTAGTGACTGGTGGTGTACAGGTGACATACAGTCTTAATGACCTCGTGTAGTGACTGGTGGTGTATCAGGTGACATACAGTCTTAATGACCTCGTGTAGTGACTGGTGGTGTACAGGTGACATACAGTCTTAATGACCCTCGTGTAGTGACTGGTGGTGTACAGGTGACATACAGTCTTAATAACCCTCGTGTAGTGACTGGTGGTAGTACAGGTGACATACAGTCTTAATGACCCTCGTGTAGTGACTGGTGGTGTACAGGTGACATACAGTCTTAATGACCCTCGTGTAGTGACTGGTGGTGTACAGGTGACATACAGTCTTAATGACCCTCGTGTAGTGACTGGTGTGATACAGGTGACATACAGTCTTAATGACCCTCGGTGTAGTGACTGGTAGTGTACAGGTGACATGCAGTCTTAATGACCCTCGTGTAGTGACTGGTAGGGTACAGGTGACATGCAGTCTTAATGACCCTCGTGTAGTGACTGGTGGTGTACAGGTGACATACAGTCTTAATGACCCTCGTGTAATGACTGGTGGTGTACAGGTGACATACAGTCTTAATGACCCTCGTGTAGTGACTGGTGGTGTACAGGTGACATACAGTCTTAATGACCCTCGTGTAGTGACTGGTGGTGTACAGGTGACATACAGTCTTAATGACCCTCGTGTAGTGACTGGTGGTGTACAGGTGACATACAGTCTTAATGACCCTCGTGTAGTGACTGGTGGTGTACAGGTGACAGTCTTAATGACTCTTGAACATACACTGGGAGATACAGAAACAAATTTAAAATAAATATTCTTGGTATTTTGGCTCTAACTTACAATGTATTGACATAGTTATGCAGTTAACAGTGGCACAGATGCCAACAAGGACGGCCTAAAACAGGTGCAGAACCTAACACGGGTGTCTTAGTAGCAATGTACACAGCAAGAACCTAACACAGGGGTCTTAGTAACAATGTACATAGCAAGAACCTAACACAGGGGTCTTAATAACAATGTGTACAGCAAGAACCTAACACAGGGGTCTTAGTAACAATGTACACGGCAAGAACCTAACACAGGGGTCTTAGTAACAATGTACATAGCAAGAACCTAACACAGGGGTCTTAGTAACAATGTACACAGCAAGAACCTAACACAGGGGTCTTAGTAACAATGTACATAGCAAGAACCTAACACAGGGGTCTTAGTAACAATGTACACAGCAAGAACCTACCACAGGGGTCTTAGTAACAATGTACACAGCAAGAACCTAACACAGGGGTCTTAGTAACAATGTACACAGCAAGAACCTAACACAGGGGTCTTAGTAACAATGTACATAGCAAGAACCTAACACAGGGGTCTTAGTAACAATGTACACAGCAAGAACCTAACACAGGGGTCTTAGTAACAATGTACACAGCAAGAACCTAACACAGGGGTCTTAGTAACAATGTACACAGCAAGAACCTAACACAGGGGTCTTAGTAACAATGTACACAGCAAGAACCTAACACAGGGGTCTTAGTAACAATGTACACAGCAAGAACCTAACACAGGGGTCTTAGTAACAATGTACATAGCAAGAACCTAACACAGGGGCCTTAATAACAATGTGTACAGCAAGAACCCAACACAGGGGTCTTAGTAACAATGTACATAGCAAGAACCTAACACAGGGGTCTTAGTAACAATGTACACAGCAAGAACCTAACACAGGGTCTTAGTAACAATGTACACAGCAAGAACCTAACACAGGGGTCTTAGTAACAATGTACACAGCAAGAACCTAACACAGGGGTCTTAGTAACAATGTACATAGCAAGAACCTAACACAGGGGTCTTAGTAACAATGTACACAGCAAGAACCTAACACAGGGGTCTTAGTAACAATGTACATAGCAAGAACCTAACACAGGGGTCTTAGTAACAATGTACATAGCAAGAACCTAACACAGGGGTCTGAGTAACAATGTACATAGCAAGAACCTAACACAGGGGTCTTAGTAACAATGTGTACAGCAAGAACCTAACACAGGGGTCTTAGTAACAATGTACATAGCAAGAACCTAACACAGGGGTCTTAGTAACAATGTACACAGCAAGAACCTAACACAGGGGTCTTAGTAACAATGTACATAGCAAGAACCTAACACAGGTGTCTTAGTAACAATGTACACAGCAAGAACCTAACACAGGTGCCAACATATACAAGGGTGCCAAAGAGTCACTTAACAATGATGTAGACGCTAAAACACACAAAAGTGCCAGAAAATCACCTGACTGAGGTGCACTCACTCACCAATAAGTCAACATGACCTTTGGAAAATATGACACCTTTGCTCATTTTAATAATTTGTAAATAATAATTTGTACATAATAATAGAAATAATAATTATTATTATTGGAGAAGCCTGTTAAGTGTTAAGGTTTAAGTTACATAAGGAGGTTGAGGGAAATTCGATCTTATTTAATAAAAGAGGAGGGGGTAACTCCGATGCCTTGGATCAAGATACCTCCAGCAGCATCGAGACGATCCTTAAAAATAAGGTACGTTTATTAACCTTTTAAAATTTTGTGTTTTGTGGGAAATTGACTTCAATTTAACTTTCTGAAATTTTGACTTAATTATCACATTGATTTTATGGGAATTTTTTTTGGGGGGATTGTTGTGGTGATAGTCTGGTGTGTACTCACCTGCTTGTGGT